TTAAAGCTTTAAGCTCTACTTTATAGACTAGGAAGAAACTTTTCTCCAAATTCTGCTGTGACCACTTACCCTCTCCTTTGTGCACTGGTTCTTCCTTTTCTTTATGTCAGATATCTATGGGAGGATGAATTTGTAGTTATTTGCTTTCCTTCCTCTCTCCTTGTTAACACCTGTGGGACTTCTATTTTAAAATTTAGCACCCCTTTTTCAATCTGTTACATAAAGATTTAAGTATATATTTAACTAAGGGGCTACAGCTAACTATGAGGTTATGACCATTGTAAGAACTATTAAAAAAAAAGCATTGTAATAATAATTGGAATATTAATTGCCATCATAACTGACTTCAGAATAGAGTTGCTGATATCAGTGCCAATTATAAAACCATTAAGTAGATTTGTAATGAGCACTGTTGGCATAAATAATGAAGGTTTTATGGAAAAGAAACCTAATGTATTCATTCTGAAGAGTTTTAGTCACAAAGGCATGACAAAATTTCTTTTGTCTTGGGTATTAGAATCATATAGAGAAAGACCAAGGAACCATGCTATGTTTAATCAAAGCATCCCCCCAAATTGAGGAAAATTTCATATTGAAACTAAGTCATTTGGGTGTCTGCTGAATTCCTCTACTTTGGCTTAGCTCAAAGGAATCTATTACATGTCATCTAACTATCCACGGTGACCCAAGGAAGATGACCACTTCTCATCTAATTGCCCATATGATATAAGAAGATGTCCTTACTTCTAATCCCTTTTGTAAACTCTCAGAATCAGATTTTTACATACACTGACCTGCAGTAATCCTAACAGTTTCTTATTTAATTGGCTTTTAGAGTCTTTGGAATATAGAGTCCCATGAAGAGATTGAGATTAACTGTGGAGCCCATCCACTTATGAAATTGTGTTGCAGCCTGGCCCACAAATGGATGTAGTTTTCCAGTGAAATTTTATGAGACAGTCTCACTTCCAGAAGAATATTTTGTTATTGGGAATGTGAATTGGAAAGGGGTAAAGTGGAAGGAAAAAAGATCAATTAAGTTCTACCTCTTTCTTCCAGGATGAGGGGACTCTTGGGTCGCAACATTTTCAAGACCGTGCCATTCACCTCTCAACAGGGGAACACAACACTTGGGACTAATCATTCTTTTGTCATAAGATTAATTTTTCTTCTGGACAAACATCTCTGGAATGGAAGGGTAGATTTTTTTCCTCTCTTGTCCTATATCATCAGGTCTCATGATAGGCCAAAAATGTTAGGTTTTATAGTTGTTCAATTTTCAGATAACATGAACTTGATGAATAGTAGATGAAAAGCAACTGGAATTTTAGGTGCAATTCACAAGGGAGAATGCTGATAAGCTTTCTCATTTTCATGACAGGGGAAGATCCCATCTGGTGTTTCTTCTTCTTTCTTTCTTTTTGTGGCAGTATGTGTGATTTACTCTTCTATCAGATTTTAAAGATCCATAGAGACACCACTGGACATTTTCTTCCTGGTGGCATGGAAAGGTTTTTAAATCCAAATAATGCTGGGAATACTTAAGAGCATGCTTATTTGGCAAAGGAGGGAGGGAGTTCTGTGAGCAATCAAAACAGGACCTGGCAGCTATTTCCCTGGCATGGATTTGTGCTGCTTGGATGAACTGAGGCTGATCAAATCACTGCATCCGGCAGCTGCTGGTTAATTTGCTTTTTGGTATCATACTTTGTACAGTGTTTATTAAAAGTCTGGGCACATTTAAAGGGTCTCAACAACTAGAGGAATTAGAAAAGTTTAGGACACATAGCCCAAATGGCTTATGTTTAAAGGCAGGTATGCTTTGCAAAACAGGACAGGCCTTTCTGGGTCATGCCAGATCTGTCACTAAGTCTTGCTGCCTCTCAAATTCATCTCCTTGCCCTCCAATCCCCCAGCCCAGACCCACATCTCACATGTCTACATGGCTCAGGTATGCCCTGGTGTTCACCTTGCCCCTGGGATCTTCCTGCTCTAATCTAGTCTGCACTCTTTTATCTAATACATTAATAGAATACTTCACAGTTTATTTTTTATATGTACCATTTAGTTTCATCTGTAAGAACCATCTTCAGCTGTCTCTTGTATTTCACATGTAAACGCTTTGGCCTACAGACTTTGAGATTTCTCACTTCCATTCACAGACATCCTTGGCTGCTCCCTTCGTGACCCTTCCATTTTGATTAAATCTGCCTCCCACCCCTGCAGTTGATTGTGTATTCCTGATTCTGTACCTTTGCTCTTGACAGTCTTTGTAATGCAATTGCTTGCTTACCTCATCCTAAAATCTACATTTTCCAGAAATTCATATTTGATTTGGTAAGCACTCTTCATACTTATACAAGATTTTTCTTAGATTTGCCAAGATTTTAAAGATTCTATTTACTGGGGATTTTACTGTCCCAAGAACTCTGCTAGGAGCTCCCACATATGTTTTTTATTTGCACCTCTCAACAGCCCTTCAAGGTAGATATTATCATCTTCAGTTTACAGATGAGTAAATTGAGGCTCAGACAGCTTAATTAGTTTGTCCAAACTCATACAGCTTATGAAAGGCAGGGCTAAAAATTAATCATTAATTTCCTTCCTCCTAATCCAATGTTCTTTCCACCATTCCCAGTGTACTACAACTGTTTATATGGTTGCTATGGTTGTTTTTACTGGTTGATTGCTTATTATTGTTTTTAGTTTGTTTTATTGCATCAATTTAGATAGTTAGATAGGGTGTTAGATAGGGTATCCTTTATTTCTTTGGTGTTTCCCAGTGCTTATTACAGGGCTCTGGAAATAGAAAACACTAAACAAATGGAAGTTGACATGAATCTATTTGTGAAAATACACAGGTCTTTGCCTTTGACACATTTTGCTGTCATTTCTGGAGAAATTGCAGTCCTTCTGACAAGAGTATCATTGATTGCCATGCATGGGAGCAAACGTCTGGCAGGCAAAAGCAGTCAGCATGGGTGGTAATCAAGTCACCAACCAAAACCAGGTCAGCCAGTCCCTCAGTAATGTCCTGTCATCCCCTGAAACTCTGTGCTCTGACCTGGCATCACAAGAATTTGCAGTGTATAGATCATTCAAAGTCCTTTGGGATTCCTCTCTCTGGTGGCCCTGGGCAATTATATGTACCCATGTCATAATATTAATTAAGAAGTATAGTAGTCATTGCTATTAATAAAAAGATTATTTAATGTCATTGGGATGCCAGGCACCACACCAAACCTAGTGTGAAATGCCCTTATGAAGCAGTCTTTCTGGCTCCACAGGTGTCTGAATCCTGCAAGCTGCTGGTTATACCATGAACATGAAAAATTTAACTTTGGGCTGGAGCTGACTAGTTAGTTGTTTTCTCTGGATGTGAGCATATTCTGTTGTGAATCAACAGATGAAACAGCTAGTTAGTATTTTTGTATTGTTTCTCTTGACAATTGTTATTTGTTGAAACTTTTTACATGTGAGTGATGGGATAATTGTTATTTGTTACTATCCCTTTTTGAAAAATTAAATATCAAGGCTCTAAAAGGGTAAGACAAGGAAGTCAGTTCAGATTGAAATCCAGGACATGAGGCCTGTAGTATTTCCCTCCTGCTTCAGGGCAGGAGAGGGCATCCAGGAGCCAAATGAGAGGCACGATCTTCCAATGAGGCAAGCACGACTTCTGGATGCAACAGGCTGAGAGCAGGTAACAGACACCTGCTGAACAGCTGGCTCCACAGAGCGTCAGAGTAGAGCAGTCAAAAACATAGACTCTGGAGCAAGACCGCCTAGGTTCGAGTCCCCATTTGCCACTTCCTAGCTGTGTGATCTTGGAAGGCAACTTACCCTCTATGTGCTGTGCTTTGCTCATCCATAAACCCGAGATTAGAAAGGTGCTTACCTCACAAGGCTCATATGAGCATTAAATGAGATAATAATGAAGTGAAAAGTAAATGGACCAGCATCTGGCACTCAATAAGTGCTATGTGTTTAAGTTAAACAACAGCAGCAACATCAAAAACCAATAACCAAAAAATGGACAAAAAAGCCCTCCCTTCTGTGGCATGGCTCTGATACCTTCATGGAAAGAAAGCCTTCTCTCTTATCATGCCTATATTTGTCCCTTTAAGTGACACAAATTTTCTGAATGATTGGTTGAACATCAATCTTATTTAAAATATCAAACATTCTGACATAGCAACCAATGCAACGAGCAGAACTTGTTTGGATCTTGATGTAAACAAATCAATTGTAAGAAAGACGGAGAATGAGAGAATTGGAGAAATATAAACATGTTTAATGTTTGGTTATATTCAGCAATTATTATTGATTATTAAAATGTGGTTAAGTACTGCAGTTATGTCTTTTGTAAAAGAGTTCTTATCTTTTAGAGACACATACTGAAATATATGCAGATGAATGCTATGATACTGGGATTTACTCAAAATAATCCAGGGGAAAGGAAGAAGGGACGGGGCGGTATAAAAAAGATAAGATTGGCTATGAGTTGTTGATTGCTATAGCCAGATTTATTGCATATATATTAAATTTTTCACAGTAAAAAAATAAACAACAAATTTTAATCTCAAAAAAAGTCACGGGCAGGCCCGGTGGCGCACTGGAGAGTGCACCGCCTGGGAGCCTGGCGGCGCTCCCGCTGAGGGTTCGGATCCCATGTGGAGACTGGTTCCCGCTCACTGGCTGAGCGCGGTGCGGGCGCAACACCGAGGGTTGCAATCCCGTTACCAGTCAGTAAAAAAAAAAAGACAAAAAAAAAAAAAAAGTCACAAACAAACAAACATTCCCACAACAATCCTCCTAACCCAATCTCTAGACATATTTTGGGGCCACAAAAGTCTGACTTTTATCCCAGTGTGGAGAGAAGGAAGAATGAGAGATTGGAATATATTCTACAGAAAAACTGTTGGCACGATAGGAATAGGATTCTATTTACAAATGAGTATTTAAAGTGAGCTGATTTATTGAACTCTCTCGTTTTCCAGCTACCACCACACAATCAAAGCGGAAAGGCCACTTCTCTCGGTGCCCCAAGCAGTACAAGCATTACTGCATCAAAGGGAGATGCCGCTTCGTGGTGGCTGAGCAGACGCCCTCCTGCGTGTAAGTGGAACCCTGAGCCAGCCAGCAAAGGGGTGCAGAATGGTGCCTGCCTGGGGCTTGACAGGACTGGAAAGTCTGAGCTAACCATGCCATCTGTCCGGACACAGTGCCCGCCTGGTCCTGCCCCCAGCCACTTGTTTAGGGGCCTGTTCAGCAGCTACTTATGGAGAAGCTGACGCACACTTTCCTCCTGAAATATGAGCGTGTGAGAGTCCAGCTCCACCTCCAGGCTGGGCAGTGTCCTCTGCTTCCTTACGCAAGCAAAACTGAATCTGTCCAGTGTCAGGGATGCTTTTCAGCTCAAATAATCTCTTGGGTGTTTCCAAGGGAAACAAATTCTTCTGGCATGTGTTAGGTGGCTCGTAGTTAATGTAAATATGAAGGAATTCCTGCCAAATTAAAAGCTACATTTGCAGGTGTCAGTTAAGTGCAAGGAAGTCAGTCCTACTTTTAAACAGAGATTAGCAAAGCCTGTTTAGTACAGCAGGAAATTGGGGGAAGAAAGCTCTTTTCAGCTCTTAGGAGATGAATAGTTCAAGTTTAATTTTACTCAGGCACATACAACTTTTGTTTTTTTCCATCTTTTAAATATTTGTTTTCTTCTAAAGAGATATCGCTGTAAAGTGCTGGGAACTTTCCTCACAGAGGAGCAAGGTGATTTTTTAAGTACAACTTTGACCTAAATTTCACAGTGTTTATGTTCTTCAGCATAGTTTCCCAGTATACTTCTTTTTTTCATAAGTATCTCAGAACAGTGATTCCAAACTCTAATTTTGTGGAATCTTTCAGGGTCATGGACTTCTTCAAAATTTAATTATAATTAAGTTTAATTTTAAAAAGAAATATGCATGGATAATACTTAGAGGAGTATAAAAATTGCTAATGTAAGAAAATAAGGAAAATATGTATGTGTGTGTGTTGGGAAAAATAGAACTGATTAAAAAAATTGTTTAGTTGCTCACTGGCTTGGGAGCATATATTGAGTCTTAAAAGCACTAATGTCCTTTAATCTAGTACCTTTTTCTAACTGGTTCCTATATGTGCAGATTTGCTTTTCTGAGATACTACTGCCTTCTAAAATGAACATCACAGTGTATAATCTACCTGCCTAAGATCAGTAAATAGCTTGTCCACTTTATTTGAAGTGAAAACTCATTTCCTTGGCCTCCATAGCTCTTCTGATCCTGGCTTAACTTTCTAGATGTATCTCTCACCATATTCCCAAATGCGCCTCTAAAATCTTACATTCCTTCTCATGGTTTATTATACAAGCTCTTCTCATAGTCTGGAAAGCTTATTCTTACTGATGGTTTGAGATGCAAATCGTACATCAACTCGTCTCAGTATTCCTTCTTCTCGGGCATGCACCTAGGTCTGAATTAGATGTCCTTCCTCTGTGATCTAGTCACACTTCTATAACAGCTTGTAACCACTGAGGCATAATCGTTGGTTTCTTTGTACGTGTTTTCTGTGACTGTGAGCTCCTAGAAGGCAGGGCTTATGGCTGATTTATTTTTGTGTTCCAGTTCTAAGCACAGTGCCTAGAATTTATAGGTATGCAAGAAATGACTGATGGATGAATGAATTAGTGCCTCTATCATAGTCTGTCTAATGCTATGCTAAATTTCAAAATCAAGGCATTAATCTGAACCAGGAACACCTTAGTAGTCGAATGATGCAGAATAAATAGGAGACAGGAGAACGTAGGAGTTAGGGCACAGATTTTGTAGCCAGATAGATCAAAGGTAAGATTTTGTGTTTCTCAGTTACAAGCAGTGTTAACTATGGGTCAATTACATTCCTGAGACCTCACTTTTATTATCTACAAAAGGGGGTAGTAATACTTTCTTCTTAATCATTGAAGATTAAACCAAATACCAGATACATAAACATTTATCATGGTACCCAGCACAGAGTAAGTGTCCCATAATTTTACTGTTGAGATGAGTGATGGATATTCAACCAGTACTCACGTTTTAGGGGCTTGGTGTAACACGGGTTCAGGCAAAACTGTCTTATCATTGGTGACAATGCCACCATTTTGGGAAACCAGAAATATCTCCATTTGCTTGGAATCATAGGAGTGTGTGGACACCTGTTTTTACACGAAAAACCAGCGTGTTTCAAATAATTTAAATCCCCAATTAGTCTTCTCAGTATTTTTTTTTTGGAATACGGATACGTTTTTTCCCCAGAGACATAATTTTTATTTATATATGCAGCACAGTTCATTTACACGTCTACATAGGGTATGGACTTGGAAGCTAGACTGCCTGTGTTTGGACCCCAGGCCCATTCACTTAGCTTCTGTGAACCTCAGTTTCTTTATCTATGAAATGGAGATAATGATAGCATCTATTTCAAAGGTTGTTATAATGATCAAGTTAATACTTATAAATCTTAGAATATTATCTGGTCATTATTTCATGACCATGATCCCAAACCCTGACTTTGCAGTGCTCTCAAGGATCATAGACATCTTTAAAAAAATAATTTTAATTAAAATTTTATTCTATAAGATGTTCTTTATATAAAAACCCACTTATTCATTTATTCGCTATTTAATATACAGTTATTAGAATCTTGTTCCCTTTGCTTCTTTCTCTTTCGTGGAGGAGATACAGTCACTGAGAATGACCATCAGCTGATACGCTGTTGGTCTGCTGAAGAGTGAAATAACACGAGAGCCAGTATCACCAGCCATGTTAAGGTCTGACCATCTAGCACGGCTTCGTTGGACTACAATTTACAGGAAGCACTGCTTACGGAGAAATTCAATCAAATCATTGTCAAGCCACTGAACCTAAAGCTTATAATTAGAAAAACATTCTAAAAGAGCAGAAAATGATTGCTGTGCATTTTATGGGTGAAGCTATTGTTTAAAAATGCCATATTTAGTAAATCTGTTGAGGAATATGTAAGCTAATTGGAAGAGACTCTGTTTATAAGATTTAATTACAACCTTATAAAAACTCTTTGCAGAATCTCCCTTCCAGACATGCAATTAAAAGTTACTCCCTATGTCCTATGTGTAACAGATTTTTTATATTTCAAGATATTTCTAAGCTCTCTTCCTGTTATTTTGACCTTGGAATGAAGATACCTACCTATCTTGCAGGAAGCAACTTTCTCTCATTCATACTGGGTTTTGACACTAGGTGGCATTAGGTGTTTTTTCTCCTTGGCTTGCATTATGCCTCGCCTTTCACCTGATGGCTGTTACTGAGCTTGTTGTTTTGTTTGGTTTTTGAAGCATTGTATCAGCTACAATATTGGCATTAAGCGATCTTCTTAATTGGGGCTTTGTGGGAATTGACTGCCATGGCTCTTGTCAAACATAAGCTATGGAACAGCTTGCCAATAAATCCTTTCTTAAAGAAAAATGGGGTTGACAGAAATCTTTCCAAGGAGCAGAATTTAATCTTTATGACATTTAAATAATTATATATATGACCAGTATCTCTCTGTGTTTTGAATGTGTCCAAAGAGAGTAAAGGAAAAAAATTTACTAATACAAAGGTACTGATATTACAACAGATATTTTTTTTTTTTTTTTTTTTTTTTTTTTTTTTGTGTCTGGGAAGGGGTT